CTTCTCCCTTAGCGTGATACTACCATATTTTCATTATTGGTGAAGCAGAGCAGCATATTCCTTCTCCGACCGTGCAAATGATCTACAGAGTAAAGCGGTTCTGGAAGAATCACCATGCGTTTCAAGGGAAATGCAGTTCCCTACTGTCAACAATCAGCCTTGGGATGCCACATGAATTGCATAGGAATCAACATAATGCCCTCTATTCAACGCTGCCAACAAAAATCGTCTCGTTGGATTCATTCATAGCAAAAGGAGGAGTGGTGCCAATCGCTCATCTTTTCGCCACGAAGTTGCACCAGCAGTTGTGAGGATATGCAGACCAAGATTATAAGCGAAGCTACTCCTAGAACAGATAAGTATTCGTTATTAAATAGAGCTCTAGTTTAGTGTATTTTGGTTTTTGTTGATTTTTGTTGATTTTGTTGATTTGAGACGCTTGATGTTGTTGTCGATGTTTTCGTCTTGGAGGATGTCTTATTTGATATCAGGGAGATAAACGGGAATATCATGTTTTTGAAAAAAGGGAATATCATGTTTGAAAAAAAGGAGTGTCATGTTTGACGGGATTATCCTGTTTCAAGCGGGGAATACCATGTTTCAAGCGGGGAATACCATGTTTCATTTGATAGCTGCAAAGGGAGTCTGAGAGGTATCTTGATAATTGCTATCACAATCGACGAAGAAGACTGGGATGGCTTGTACTAGATTGGCTATCTGCTATATTATCGCTAGTTCTTCTTGCCAAATTCTAGTGCTGAATATGTATTCAAAAGAAAAATAATCAAAATACTCCTAGATCTATTAGTCAAAACTATAGTTCGTCGTGACTGAAGTCAGAAATATATACAGCTCGGTGTCTTTGCAGACTTAATGGCCGTGCGGATACATGTACTTCTTGAAATCCTTATGGAGCATCTCCAAAGCAAAGGTAAAGCTCAGGCTACTCATTTGTGGTGCTGTCCCCAAATATTCCATCATAAACGCCTTCAAGGGAAGTGGCTTTGGATCTGGAAAAGATGCAAACAGTGTCAAGCCTGCAACGCAATGCTGAAATGCAAACTCTCTCGCATGGTGCTCCTCTTTTCGCTGTTCGTGCCAGTCTTGGATTCTTTTGCAGGTGGGTCCAGACATCTCGTCTTTGTCATCTTCATGAGAGGCCATCGTGAAAAAAGCTAGCAACACCAAGCGTCTCAGATCAACAACATATATTCCAAGAGGCTGATTGTTGATAGTGGGGAACTGTATATGGACTATAACTTCCCAACGAAACATCTGCGAAATTTCATTCTGACAGGTACAGTAACAGCATTTGCATCACTACCACTCGAACTCAACGTTGAATCGGTCCATCAGCCTGCATTCTGTCTGTGCCCTGCGTGTATCCATTCCAAATATCTAGAGCTGCGACTCAGCACAAAATATTCTGCTGACTTCGAAGTGCTGTAGCGTTTATGAGACTTGGAAATCGATCATACTTCCGGCCCTACAGATTTTAGTCATCATACTTTTGGCCCTACAGATTTTCGTGGTAAAAGGTACGTACAAGTAATAGTACGGGATTTCCAGTACGAACAGCGGAATCCTACTCACAGGAATCTGACTTGGTTCCTTGTATATCAACAGTCACTTTGGGGGGATTTTGAGAACTCGAAATGGTAGAGGGGATGGCTCAAAAGTGGATTTGTTTGGGGGACGGACGAACAAGGACGTCCAAATAAGAAAGGAATTCTCCAGCTTACAAAAAACGGGAGGAAGTATATCCGAGATTATTTTTTACGATCCTCCCTCCCCTAGTTTCCTTTCTAGGTTCGTCAGTGGAAGATTCCGTTTACGGTCCGAAACAGACGTACCCAGTACGATACGGTATTTACGTACCCATCATACTTTAGGCCCAACAGACTTCAGTCATTTCTCCGAAAAATCGTACTTTTTTTGGAAAACACCAAGAACAAAATGATGTTTAGACGGTTGATGTTCAAGCGGATTATAGATTGCTGACGGAGCCGCTGCTTTTCCTTCTCCCTTAGCGTGATACTACCATATTTTCATTATTGGTGAAGCAGAGCAGCATATTCCTTCTCCGACCGTGCAAATGATCTACAGAGTAAAGCGGTTCTGGAAGAATCACCATGCGTTTCAAGGGAAATGCAGTTCCCTACTGTCAACAATCAGCCTTGGGATGCCACATGAATTGCATAGGAATCAACATAATGCCCTCTATTCAACGCTGCCAACAAAAATCGTCTCGTTGGATTCATTCATAGCAAAAGGAGGAGTGGTGCCAATCGCTCATCTTTTCGCCACGAAGTTGCACCAGCAGTTGTGAGGATATGCAGACCAAGATTATAAGCGAAGCTACTCCTAGAACAGATAAGTATTCGTTATTAAATAGAGCTCTAGTTTAGTGTATTTTGGTTTTTGTTGATTTTTGTTGATTTTTGTTGTCGATGTTTTCGTCTTGGAGGATGTCTTATTTGATATCAGGGAGATAAACGGGAATATCATGTTTTTGAAAAAAGGGAATATCATGTTTGAAAAAAAGGAGTGTCATGTTTGACGGGATTATCCTGTTTCAAGCGGGGAATACCATGTTTCAAGCGGGGAATACCATGTTTCATTTGATAGCTGCAAAGGGAGTCTGAGAGGTATCTTGATAATTGCTATCACAATCGACGAAGAAGACTGGGATGGCTTGTACTAGATTGGCTATCTGCTATATTATCGCTAGTTCTTCTTGCCAAATTCTAGTGCTGAATATGTATTCAAAAGAAAAATAATCAAAATACTCCTAGATCTATTAGTCAAAACTATAGTTCGTCGTGACTGAAGTCAGAAATATATACAGCTCGGTGTCTTTGCAGACTTAATGGCCGTGCGGATACATGTACTTCTTGAAATCCTTATGGAGCATCTCCAAAGCAAAGGTAAAGCTCAGGCTACTCATTTGTGGTGCTGTCCCCAAATATTCCATCATAAACGCCTTCAAGGGAAGTGGCTTTGGATCTGGAAAAGATGCAAACAGTGTCAAGCCTGCAACGCAATGCTGAAATGCAAACTCTCTCGCATGGTGCTCCTCTTTTCGCTGTTCGTGCCAGTCTTGGATTCTTTTGCAGGTGGGTCCAGACATCTCGTCTTTGTCATCTTCATGAGAGGCCATCGTGAAAAAAGCTAGCAACACCAAGCGTCTCAGATCAACAACATATATTCCAAGAGGCTGATTGTTGATAGTGGGGAACTGTATATGGACTATAACTTCCCAACGAAACATCTGCGAAATTTCATTCTGACAGGTACAGTAACAGCATTTGCATCACTACCACTCGAACTCAACGTTGAATCGGTCCATCAGCCTGCATTCTGTCTGTGCCCTGCGTGTATCCATTCCAAATATCTAGAGCTGCGACTCAGCACAAAATATTCTGCTGACTTCGAAGTGCTGTAGCGTTTATGAGACTTGGAAATCGATCATACTTCCGGCCCTACAGATTTTAGTCATCATACTTTTGGCCCTACAGATTTTCGTGGTAAAAGGTACGTACAAGTAATAGTACGGGATTTCCAGTACGAACAGCGGAATCCTACTCACAGGAATCTGACTTGGTTCCTTGTATATCAACAGTCACTTTGGGGGGATTTTGAGAACTCGAAATGGTAGATTCTGAAGTTCCGTTTTCATCTGTTTTAGACTTAGTAAGTACTTGCTTGTCCGTCCCCCATAAAAACCTACTTTTGAGCCATCCCCAGATTCTGAAGTTCCGTTTTCATCTGTTTTAGACTTAGTAAGTACTTGTTTGTCCGTCCCCCATAAAAACCTACTTTTGAGCCATCCCCGTTCTCAAAATCCCCCCAAAGTGACTGTTGGTGTACAAGGATCCAAGTCAGATTCCTGTGAGTAGGATTCTGTTGTTTGTACTGGAAATCCCGTACTGTTACTTGTACTTACCTTTTACCATGAAAATCTGTAGGGCCAAAAGTATGATGACTAAAATCTGTAGGGCCGGAAGTATGATAGATTTCCAAGTCTCATATTCAATATAAACGCCACAGCACTTCGAAGTCAGCAGAATGTATTGTGCTGACGAGTCGCAGCTCTAGATATTTGGAGTGGATACTTGCAGGGCACAGACAGAATGCAGGCTGAGGGACTGATTCAACGTTGAGTTCGAGTGGTAGTGATGCAAATGCTGTTGCTGTACCTGTCAGAATGAAGTTTCGCAGATGTTTTGTTGGGAAGTTAATAGTCCATATACAGTTCCCCACTATCAACAATCAGCCAGCTCTAGATATTTGGAGTGGGTACACGCAGGGCACAGACAGAATGCAGGCTGAGGGACCGATTCAACGTTGAGTTCGAGTGGCAGTGATGCAAATGCTGTTACTGTACCTGTCAGAATGAAGTTTCGCAGATGTTTTGTTGGGAAGTTATAGTCCATATACAGTTCCCCACTATCAACAATCAGCCTCTTGGAATATATGTTGTTGATCTGAGACGCTTGGTGTTGTTGTTGTTGTTGTTGTTGTTGTTGTTGTTGTTATTGCTGTTGTTGAAAACCGTTTGAAACAGGAGATATTTGAAGCGGGGATTACCATGGTGGAAACGTGAGATTGTCATGTTTGACGGGATTACCATGTTTCAAGCCGGGAATACCATGTTTCAAGCAGGGAATACCATGTTTGAAGCGGGGAATACCATGTTTGAAACGTGAGACTGTCATGTTTGAAGCGGGGAGTGTGAAATAGGGAATGTCAAACAAACAAGGATTGATTCAGTGACTGAAGCACTTTACTCTGTAGATCATTTGCACGGTCGGAGATCACCACTATCTTCTTTTATTTATAATAATATTGTTGTACCAGCTTGTATAGCAACAAAGGGTCGGCAAAGATCTGCCAAGATTCAATGGTTGCTACTGCAAATAAACAAATCAAGACACAAAGCACCACAATACCACAGGAATACATATATCTAGATCTTTTAATAAAAGCTATCAATTGTCTCAAAGAGTACTTTGACCGAACATCTTGATGACCTTCTGCATTGCTGCCCACTCCTCTGGGCTCATTTGGGGAACAAAGCCAGGGGCAGCTGTTGCGGCAGTGGTGGTAGCTTCAGTCGGGATCTCAATCTGCATATCCTCAAAGCCGGTGTTGATGTACTGGCCGCTAACACTGGCAGTGGACCTGGACCGTGTAGTGCTAGACCTTGCAGGTGATTTCTGCTTAGACTTGATAACTGGTAGGAGTCTGTTTGCCTTCATCAAACTTAGGGTTCTTACACAGAATGAAACTGTCTGTTCAACTGTGTCCAAGGTGTAGCTATCTTGATGACGGCCATGACAATCAACAAAGAAAGGGGCCATTTCCTCACCAAACTGGAGCAATGGATCATCATCCACTTTTTCCCATTCATTCATTTCTTTTTTCATCTTGGTAGTCCAAATAATATCTTCACTGCACCCATTTGCATAAGGCTTCTCAACTTTATTCCCCAAGGCATCCAGGAAGAATGGTTCGACTTCCTTTTCAAAAGCGATTTCTGCAATCTGGACCCAAGGCAAGTTGTCGTTCTTGACATCCCTAAATGTCAATCCCAATGCCGCTAGCTCTCGCGTGATTTCATTATTTAGAGCAGCATAGTGGATGTTTGCTGCTGGGTCAAAGTCATCAACTGCGGTCATGCCTTCCAACAACAGAGCAGGCTTGTAGAAAGCAGGATTTCTTCGAATGTAGACCTGAATAGAAGATGACCCAGCAAATTCCAATTTCAAACGGCTGGGACTAGCCGATCCTCAAGGAATTTCAAACTTCACATAATATCTGCCATCTGGATAGGGCACAACATTCAAGTAGTCTAGTTGATTGTTCTTGATGGTCTTGTTTCCAGCACCTGAAATTGTCTCTTCAGATTGCGGCACTTTGGCCTTGTCTGGCTTGTCTGTAGGATCAGCCTTGCTTGACTTGTGTTTAGTTTGTGGGCTGTAGAAGGGCTTTTCTTCGTTGTCATTGACATTCATCTTGTCTCCTCCGTTTTCTTTGTCATCGGCTCCTTCAGTTGTCCTCCCTTTGTTTTCTGTTGCATCTGGTGGATTATTCAGCTTCAAGCAACTTTTGAAACCTTCATCATTGAGTCCAGTCCCAAACTCTCGAAATGTATCTATGATTGCTCGAATGTCTTTGACTTTCCTTGTGATAGTTTGTTTGTTGTACTTGCTGTATTCTCTATCTGGGTCAGAGTGGATGTCGGTGTTCTTCGTTGATGGAATGTATTGCCCAAAGTAGATGTCTCAAAATAACTGCACATGGGTGTCGCCGTGTTTGACCCAGTGAAGGTTTCCGCTTGGAGTGGTTTTGGGTTGAACCAATTCTGTCATCTTGTGTCTGTTGTAATTGTCGACTCTCTGTGGTTTCGCAAAATAATTCACCTGCTCGCTAAAAATGTGATCACAATTTTTAACGGTTCTCAAGCATGCGCCCCGCGTGCTCTGAACGTGGTTGCACGTTGGTTTTCAAGCATGACAGTCCAAAGTATCATGATTGGAAAACTGGAGACTCTCAAGTCCCACGATTAGCAAACATGATAGTCACAACTATCATGATTGGAAAACTGCAGACTATCAAGTCCCATGATTGGAAAACATGTCGGTCCCAAGCATCATGATTGAAAAACTGCAGACTTTCAAGTCCCACAGACTCAAAATCCAAATCAATAGATTTAGGATGACTTGTTACGGAGATCATAATTTGTTCATTGCGACTATCAAACAACGACTGTAGTAGCTTTTTTCACGATGGCCTCCCATGAAGATGACAGAGACAAGATGTCTGGACCCACCTGCAAAAGAATCCAAGACTGGCACGAACAGCAAAAAGAGGAGCACCATGTGAGAGAGCCACTTCCCTTGAAGGCGTTTATGATGGAATATCTGGGGACAGCACCACAAATGAGTAGCCTGAGCTTTACCTTTGCTTTGGAGATGCTCCATAAGGATTTCAAGAAGTACATGTATCCGCACGGCCATTAAGTCTGCAAAGACACCGAGCTGTATATATTTCTGACTTCAGTCACGACGAACTATAGTTTTGACCAATGGATCTAGTATTTTGATTATTTTTCTTTCGAATACATATTCAGCACTAGAATTTGGCAAGAAGGACTAGCGATAATAAAGCAGAAAGCCAATCTAGTACAAGCCATCCCTGTCTTCTTCGTCGATCGTGGTAGCAATTACCAAGATAGCTACATGGTATTCCCCCCTTGTAACATGGTATTCCCCGCTTGAAACATGACAGTCTCACGTTTCAAACATGGTATTCCCCGCTTGTAACATGGTATTCCCCGCTTGAATCATTGTATTCCCAGCTTGAAACATCGTATTCCCCGCTTGAAACATGGTTTCAAACATGGTATTCCCCGCTTAAAACATGGTATTCCCCGCTTGAAACATGGTATTCCCCGCTTGAAACATCGTATTCCCCGCTTGAAACATCGTATTCCCCGCTTGAAACATCGTATTCCCCGCTTGAAACATGACAGTCTCACGTTTCAAACATGGTATTCCCCGCTTGAAACATGGCATTCCCCGCTTGAAACTAGGTTGTTTAGGAGTCACCCGAACCGTCTGGCCTTCCCTAGTCAACATCCATTTTCCCGCCGAGATTCAAATCCGCACGCTGGCATACCCACCCGCCGGCCTTGTATCCGTTGGATTTGAATTCATCATTCATCCATTTACTCACGATTGCATCAAAATTGCAATGAAAATGAAGGTAAGTTTTGGATGGGCGTTGCATCTCCTCCATACAAGTTTCTTACACAACTCTATTATCGCTCTATGCGCAGTGATGAGACGGATCGACTGAATGTGGTTGCGCTTCTGCAATCGATCGACTTTCATTTCCCCCACCACATTATGATTCAAGACCTTTCCAAATTGCGTTTAATGATGGCGACGGGAAAGAGACCTTGACGAAACAGCGAGACCTCATCAACACAAGTGACCGATCTATGAGACTATGAAATATCTTCGTTTACATCTTGTATTGACTTTCCACCAAGTTTTGACCGATGTTTTGGCATTCTGCTGTCATCAAAAATAATTCTGTGAATGCTTCACATTACTTTTCAAAGTCCCACCAAAGCAAGTACCGACCTATGATACTACAAAAGAGCTATGTCTCATTTGTTTTGGTAAAAATTCCGTCAACTTTTGGCCAAGCTTATGTCAATCTACCAATGGCGAGATAGCATTGGGATCAAAACTCATCAACGAACTGAACTGAACCAAGACCTGGCAGAATCAAACTACCTGCTTATGCTACTTCTGAAAAGCAACGACTATGTCCAGGGTGCTGTCTTTACAATGGTGGCAAAATGTCATTGAAACCGCAAATCAGTAAGTAATCAAATTCTCTACATTACGGGTATTCTTGTTCTACAAATGTCATTTGTTCCGCTGTGAGCTTTTTTGAGTTGTCATTGCCACCAATCAAAGCACTCTTACAATAGAAAGATGTGCAATAAATGTCTCGTGAAACTGCCTTGGACAAAATACAATGTGGCTCAGTGGGATCAAAGATTAAACAGTCACCATGCCTAAGCGCCACTGCAAATCCTGCATCTTTAATTTATGTAACATGTTAGTAAAACATATAGATACACAAATATTCTCATGACATACTGCCTTACAGGGAAAACAAAAGTAGGCTAGTATGTCACCAGCACTTGACTCTGTAGAGTCGCTTACAGAAGTCACCGACAAAAAGCAATCCTTGTCACAATGTACTGGAAGGTACACATTTCTTCCGAGCGCCAAGTTAGGGAAGATTGTCGTTTCTCCCAATACTCCAGTCTTGTACCGACCACAGAATCCTGGTACCCCCAACTTCTTCTTCATTGTCTTGTGACAATACACATATTTGGAGCTGATACTACCACTTAAGACCTGCTCTGCTTGAGTAATGATTCGGAATACCTCATCCCGCACTTCATCGTCTAAAGCAATAGACTTGTCATATATCCCCCTGGCGTTCCTAATACACTTGGGACCACTGCAACTGTAGATGCACTTCCCACTACTTTGTACTGCTGTTTTGTCAAATCCACGTTTGGTGCCGAGCTTGTCCATCCCTAGCAGTGTCGCAAAAACGGGTTTTGTTTTTTCCTTGTTGAAAAGTGAGGCCCTGTTTTGTTTGCTCGGTAGCAGAGCAATGAATTCGTCATTTGCACTTGTGATGACAGTGCCGTTATTGTCATCAGTTCCTTGCTTTGCCCCAACGATGCATCCACGGAAAAATTCCAGTACAGAATGACCAGCTGACTTATCAGTTGGCATACCAGGAAGTGTCTTGTCTTTGGTTCCACAAAAGTAGACCCTCGTCTCCTTTTCATTATTCAACTTTTTCTCTTTGAAACATTTTCGTGTCATACTCTTCAGTTTCTGTTCCTTTGTGGAAATATTGCGTCTACCACCCTTAGATGCTGTGTTCTCAAAATTTTCATATTCTTTCATGGCGTTTGTGTATGCGCTTACTCTCAAAGAAGAGGATGTTTTGGCCTTGGGGCAGTGCTTAGCCTTGTGTACCATGGGTTTCATGGCTTGGATGCAAATTTTGTGATTTTTTTGGTGGGTTTTGCGTGTCAATTTCTGGTCTT